ATCAATTTTTTATTATTTTTATATAATTCTTAATTTAGAATATCTTTGAAATGACATTAATATTATGATTATAGCAATGTCATATGATTCTTAGCATTTTTAGAAATTTCTTTGAATTAAAAATTGTTTTGTACTTTGAAGTACAATGAACCAATGAAATTCGAAAAGCAGGATATAATGATTTTAATATGAACTTAAGGTATCTTATTTTTCTTTGAACATTGAATTGAATTGTGTTATTCTACGATTCGAAGTTAAAATGCTCTCTTTAGATGATGGCCGAGGTGATAGACGCAATTTTTAAGAACAGAGCCCACATCGCTTTCTAGCAAAGCTGCCTCATAAGGCTAAAATAATACTAGATGAAATGAGGGGTTTGATTATCTCTCTCTCTCTTTCTCTCTTTCTCTACCGAAAAGAATTCTCACTAATCAGATCAAGTGTTAGTATATTGACGTGCTCCTTCACCCCATATATACATATATATAATTAATATACGCTTAGATTTGTTTATTAGCAAATTAGGTAGCCCTGCGGAAATGCACAATAAGCCATTTTATATACATACATGTGTAGATATTTCGAATAGTGATAGAGAGCTCTATATGTATGCATATGCAGGGGCGTAGCACCAGCTTCTGTTTGATGTCAAATATTTTGATCTGTGTTGTGTTTGGGGGCAGCAGCAACAGCAATAGCAACAGCTGCTTATCGAGGTAATTTTTCTACAGGCGATAAGCCGTTGGGCTTTAGCAACAATTGAAAATAATTGTTGTAAACAAGTCAAGCTACATATATATGTATATATATAAATTTATACATGCATAGGTATATAGGTATTCATAAATTTATGCAAATATACAGTGAATCAAAGCCAATTTAATTGAGTTAACATCAAGACAGCCCACGCGGCAGGAGTTCAGAAAAGTTAAGAAAATTATCCACGGGTTAGACGTCATTCACGCGTATATATATATATCATATATCAATTGATATATACATATATAAATCTGTGCCCATTGCTAATTTGAAACAGAAGCAGCGCGGTTGCTCTTTAGCCCCTATCACGGGGCATGCCTGTGGCCCTAAATTTTATTTTTGGGCGTTCAAATGGCTGCGGCACCCACGCAGAACTAGTGGCATCAATAGTCATTGCATACAGCCAGGCGGCAGTTGGCAACGCTTCGTGTGTCACTCGGCTAAGGGCGCGCATCTGATTGGCTGCGAGGCAGCTACACTCACACCCACACACCTACACTGACAGGCTCACACCCACACACGCACACAGAGCTGGGGCTCGTCCTGCGATATAAAGCAGAGCCGTTTGCTCTTAACGGCATCAAACGAATTTTGGCTTTCAGTCGAGCGACATCAACACCAAAAACGCGCTAAAACCAAAAGAGTCCAAATTTAATGTTAACAATTCCATTGCAAGCCAGTTAGACTGCAAACTAAGTTTCAAAACATTTATTTAAGAAAAAAAAAAAAACAAGGTGGCAACTCTGTGTTAGCAGCAAAATCAAGATTTTGTGTGAAGTACAACTTTATACTCAAAAGTTCAAAGTAAAAAATTAAAATTAATAAATTGGTGAGTAACAATTAAGAATTTTGAAAAGTTTAAGTAATTAAACACTATAAAATGTAATTTTTTAAAACTTAATTTATGTAAAAAATATGTTTAAGTCCAGCAATATATGTTTAAAATATTCTAAATTATATATTAATTAATTGAATAATTAATTTATAATTTAAGTTTCACTTGCTTAATGTTTGGCTTAGCAAACTTTACTCCTCTCTCTATTTCTCACACACACACACAGAAATTTTGATGAGACCCTTTGGTCATATTTTGTGGCCATGTTTATTTGTTCAATTTTAATTGACTCAAATTAGATTAGTGCGCATTTGAAGTTCCTTGTTGGCTGTTGATGCCGATGCTTAACTTCTCCCACTTGGCAGCTTTGATTAATTTTTTATAAGTCGCCACGGGCTGCACTCGTTGGCAAAAGTTCAAAGTTTATAAACGTGGCCCCTCGAATCGCCAAGGCAAAACAGCTGCATAAATGAAGACTCGAGGACTCGATATAATTTGATGTACCTTTTGCTGAAGCTCCTCGGCGTGCAGCCTGCAAACAGTTTAACTCGATTTATTTGTTTACTTTGCATAGAGCTCTATTTAGTACGTACATATATATAGAGATTCATATATGCACATGCTCTTGCTAGAGTAAATTTGTTCAAGGTAAACTTAATTTTGTGAGTATCAAGGATTAGCTAGACTTTGGCAAATATTTTTCTGGATTATTAAAGAAAACTTAATAAGCGGCAAGGCATCGAATGTAAAGGATTTATATAGATAAACTTGAGGATTACTTTATTAAACCATTATTATAAATTATTATTAATTATTATGTTAAATCATAAAATATCTTAAATATCTCTACTAGTTAGATCACTCAGAGAGAGTAATTTCCTGCTTAAGTTTTAATTTTTATATCATATATACTATAAATCTAATCTTATATTACCATAGTAAATATATATA